GTCGCAGGTGCGCTCACAGGAGGAACAGCAGCTCAACTCCCCACGGCAGGGGAGGTGGGGGAGGGGGGCTTGGGTCCCAGCAGCAGTAGCAGCAGTTGCAGCAGTTGCAGCAGTTGCAGCAGGGGGTAGGGATAGTAAAGGCGTGCTCGTTGCGCACACCCCTCTGCTGCCTCCCCGAGCTCTCTCTCTCGTATTCCTCAAGTCTACCAAACAAAAGATCGTTCTAACTGCATGGACGCCACAGCCTGGAATACATGGGCATGATGCCGAACAAGCGTCTTCCGCCCTCTCACAAGCCCCGCTTCATTTTGGAACAGGCTTGCGTTAAACTCATTGCGCATACCTCTCCGCTGCACCCCGACGCTCTCTCTGATTCCTTCGGTCTGCCCATGAAAGATCGCTCACGTGCCGCAGAGAAGCCACTATCCTCTACCCTAAACATTATCAGCTACTTTGCTGGTGCTTGTTCGACACACTGCCATACACGAAGAAGCCACCACGCGTCATATCTATGTGCACTGGGGGGGCATGTTAAGTGCCTGCAGTTAGTCTTTGCCAGCCGAACAAATCGACACTATACCAGGCAGTCAATTGGCACTTTTCAGCCCGCACTAAAAACTAAAGCCAAGCACCGCTGGGGGAGAGGTGGGGCACTAAACAAAACAAACAACACACTGAGAAGCTTCTGCGTGGCCTTCCTCTTGTGAGACCTCGGCTGATACGTCAGGAATAAACGCCGAAAGGCCTGTAGACTGGCACCAGAATAGAAAGATGGGACGAACACACACACACATTTCTCATTGGTCAGTCGGATATCACGGTCGATGTTATACCAAAACACACTCTAAACAGGTCCCCCGCCACTGCTGTACCTGCATGAGCTTGAACTCGAACACACGAGCAGTCTGCCAGTTCATCACGGCGCACGCCTTCCGGATGCCTCGGCATGCGCTGATCTTGCGCCTCCACTGCTTCTCGAAGCAGCCCTGGCAAAGGCTCTCGAACAGGCTGTGCACCAGCACCCTCCCCTGCCAAGAAGGCCTCCCCGGGGACGAAGACGAAGCGTCCCCTCCCTCGACGGCCGGCGGATCTTTCACGCCCGAGTGCTCCACGATGAACCTGTTGTTTTTGTTTTCGTATTTTATTTGCAGAACAATCAGGGTGTCGGCCAACGCGCATTGGATGAGGGTTAGAACCAGCGTCTAGGCGACGGACACTGCCGTCCCGTCCAGATGCATACGGCTTGACTTCGTCAGGCCGATCGATTCTTTGTCACCGCGAAGAGAAGAAGAGACACCCCGTGCGGTCCATATGCATACGGACAGGCTCAAGTCTTGCCGATCGATTATTTGTCTCCGCGACAAGAGACATCCCGCGCGGTTCATATGCATACACTTGACTGAGTTAGGTCCATCGATTCTTGTCTCCGCGAAAAGAAGAAGATACCTCCTTTCTCTACCCCCCCCCCGCCAAAACACCGTCACCTCCTCCCGCGCCACTCACTCGATGAGCTCCAGAGTTACCCCCTGCACGTCCTTCTAACCACTAAGGCATACAAAACATAAGAGTACCCCCCCCCCCCTACCCCCCCCCGCCAAAACACGTCACCCCCTCCCGCGCCACTCACTCGATGAGCCCCAGAGCTACCCCCTGCACGTCCTTCCGCACGTCGCTCAGCCCATCCACGATCGCGTCCGTGATCTCGCAGGGGCTGGTAACCCGCCGCCCCCGCAGGTGCTCCGAGACCGCCTCTAGCGGCGAAAACACCAGGTCGGCCTTGGGGTCCTGCATGGCGGCCATGTCGGCGGCGCCCACCCCCGGCGCTACGGCCGCTGGCGCGTCCGCCGCTGCCGCCGCCGCCGCCGCAGGCTCGGAGTACGGGCCGATGTCCAAGTCCGAGAAGCCTTGGGGCAGGCGGCGGCGGGGGGTGGGTTCGGCGGCTTGGGGCGGGGGCGGCGGCGGCGGCGGCGGGGTGGTGAGCCGGATGCAGTCCAGGATGATGCCGTGCAAGACGGGAGAGGCCGTCTCTTTGAGGTCCGGGTCCGAAGCTGAGACGAGTAGGGCGGCGATGCCCTTGGACATCATGCGGGCCTGAAAACAAAAACGCGGAGGGTGGAATACAACAGCCGTACCCGCGGCAACGAAACGACGAGTCTTGATTCTGGTGTGAGGAGAGGGCGAGCGGCATTGTCCAAGGCTTTGACATGCGGGCTGCTGCCGAGGTGCAGCTTGGGTCATTCACCCTCTGCCGGCATATTTTCTCGACAAGCATCGGATTCATTCAGCACTCATGGAAGGACGTGTATCTTCCAGCAATGACACCAGGAAAACATTGCTGATTTATCCTGGAGTTTATACCCGCGGATAATTACGTTACATTACATTATGGTAACCTTGCAAGAAGAAAACAAAAAACGGGTTGTCAACGGGAGAAAAAGGGCCCGAAAAGACGTAAGGGGTTACAACAGCACGACCGTGTCCCCCAGTCGACCCCCCTCTTTCCACAACACCATCAGCCCCCCCCCCTTCTCCCCCCCAGACCGTTCCACTTACATCCATCGCCACACAACAACCCCTCCCCCCGACCCACCTTATACTCGAACTGGGCCTTGTACCGCAGGTGCTCCGGGAGCACGGCCTCCCGGAAGCTCTCGGGCGGGCGGCCCAGCATGTCCGCCCCGCCCTCCTCCATGCGGCACTTCTTCTCCGCGGCCACGATCTCCTCCTCCGTGATGGCCGGCAGCGAGGCTCCCCCCGCGAGCACAGGCGCCATGCACGACAGAACCAGCCGGAAAGCGAGCCGCTTGTGCCGGGACAGCGACTCCTGCAGCGTGTCCCTGATCACGCTCTTGCGCTGCTCGCTGCCGTCGACACCCTCGCCGCTCGCCGCCACCGCCGCCGCCGCCGCCGCCGCCGTGCCCGCTGATTTCTTTTGCGCGCCGGCGGAGGAGGCGTTCTTGGAAGCGGCGTTCTTAGCGGCCGGGGCGACCTGAACCTTGCCCGACAGCTTGTTGAGGAGGGCGCAAACCTTGCCGAAGATCAAGTCCATCGGGAGCGTGAAGCGCCGCCGGGAGTCACCGGGGGGGCCGAGGTTGTCGTCCGGGCTGAAGGACCACTCCATCTCCAACTGAAAAGGTGCAAACACGGGAGGGGGGGGGGAGGGTACTCCGATGTAAACGCATACCGTGCCGTAGTAGTTAGACCATTGACAACGCGTCGGTCCTTGAAAGGACGGCGCATTGTTTCCACCGATCACCGATGGCCAGTCGTTCCTTCCTACGCTGCCAAAGGTGGCTCAAAAGTGTTTTCCCCTATCCTATCGCTTTCACTTTTCGCGTGCTCAGCCCACTTCGTATGCCCAGTATAATGGGGGGGGGGGCTCATATTGGGTAAAAGTGCGATGCATCGTTGAGAGACGGGTTGTTGCGCTCTTGGGCCACAACCCCCAAGAACCTCGTGTCGCCTATTTACTTCTGAACCGCAGGAAAATTTATATCCAAAATCCTCGAGCAAAAAGCTGGTAGATACAGTTCAAAATCGAAGCCGCGCACGGCAGGAGGAGTGAAAAGAGGGTTAAGGGTTAGGGATAGGTTTGGAGCCCCTATTGTTGTTGTTGTCTTTACGTTAAAAACCGGTCCGGTCTCCCCTCAGTACCTTCTAATGTGGGTACTGGTCCAACTGAAGCGGAAGCTTTCCGTGGTCACAAGCCAACTGCCCCACCAAAGGGGGGGGGTACACCTTTCCTATCCGGCACAGAAACTGTGAGCGCTGACTAAAAAGTGACGAAAAAACAACAAACAAAAAACGATACATGTACAGCAGAGAACCGTCGTCGAAAAGCGGCACAAAAAATCTCCCCATCACGTTACGGAAAGCGGCACAAAAAACTTCCCATCACCTTACGGAAAGCGGCACAAAAAAATCCCCATCACCTTACGGAAAGCGGCACAAAAAAATCCCCCATCACCTTAAAGCAGTCGCGCGTGTGCCAGGACGTGCCCGTGCTGGGCGGCAGCAGCATGGGCTCGCTCAAGAAGCGCCTGTTCCTTCCCCCCAGCTTGCCCAAGAGGCGGAGTGCGATGGTGCCGTAGTGGAAAGGCGCCGGCCTCAGGTTGGCGCAGAGCGCCGTCATCACGTCTGCAAGGACCTGGGTTGTTATTCGGGTGCAAGAAAGCAATTTCGTGCGCGGCGAGGGCGGCGTGTGTGTGCTCATAGCCGTGCATGCCGTAGTCGTTAGACCATTGACCTCGCATCCGTACAAAGCCGAGACGGAGCACGCCGGGTTCACACCGGACCAGGCTCTCACATCACCGAGCGCGAAGCGTCGTTGACCATTGACGAGGGGAGGGAGTCCCCCACTAGTAGTGATGATGGGGGAACCGTAAGGGTGCTTGTAGGGGGGGGGGGAGGGGGGATCCTCCTTGTTGGTACTGACGGTAAGAACTAAGAACCTTTTTGTTCTGCCCGCTCGTGGTCTCTTATGCCCTCGGAGGAGGTAGGCAACCCCAGCATCGACTTTGCACAGGCTGAAGTGCTGGATTCGGAATGGAGCACCGGTTGAGTCTGAACTTCCTGACTGATTCCCAGGTTTCATACGGCGGCGCTTCTTTGGATGCCACACACACGTGTACACGTGTAATTAAACCCAGCAGAGACACAACCAAAAACGACATCCCGAACGTCAACCCTTCGGATCGTGGCTCATGTTCCTCTACAAACACACAGTAGCAGGACACAACAAAAAAAGACATCCTAAGCGCCAAACTTTCGGGTCGTGGTCATGATCCTTTTACAAACACACCGCAGAGGGACACAACCACAGCAGTTAGCCCCTAAGGCCAAGCCTCGGATCGTGCCTCATGATCCTGTACAAAGACAGCACATGATCTTGTTCAACAAAGGCACCGCAGCAGTATACAACCCTCAAAAGACCAAGACAACGTCAAACCTTCGGGTCGTGGCTCATGATCCTTTGACGAACACACCGCAGCAGGAGCAGGCTACAACCACAAACTACCTCCCAAGGCCAAGCCTCGGATCGTGCCTCATGGTCCCGTACAAAGACAGCGCACCAGAGGATGCAACCCCCCGACAGACCAAAGACAACGCCAAACCTTCGGGTCGTGGCTCATGATCCTGTACAGGTAGTCCGGGTTCAGGTTGTCCACCCAGAACTCGAGCGTGCGCAGCGCCAGCCCGTCCAGGTCGCCCCGGCACCTTAGCGCGTGCACCATGAGCCTCATCATCAGGGGCAGGTGGGGCAGGAGAGAAGCAAGCCTCGCCGGGACTGTAAGGCAGAGCTCGACGAGTATGTTCTTGATCGACACCTCCTCCGCACGGTGGTGGAGCTTGCTCAGCTCCGTTAGGAGCAACGGGAGGAGGGGGTAGATTTCCTGCGGGACGGGCGGCGATCGATGAACACACGTATATATTCAAGGGCGGTCAGGCGGGGGGGAATACGGGGGTGGGATTACATCAGGAGTAGCGGGAAGAGCGGGTAGATTTCCTGCGGGAGGGGCGGCAATCGATGAACGCATGTATACAAGGGCGGGCATCACCCCTTGTTTAATGATACTTGTGCTCTCATGAGCCCACTCCGGATGTATGTATGTTTTTCGCACTGTACCCTGTATTTGCTGTCGACGGTTTCAACGCACACGCCTCGGAAGAGAGAACCCCCCCCCCCCCACCCCCCCCCCCCGGGCCCACCACCACCCCCTGCACTATAAAAAATACCTTGTTTCTGCCCTCCGAGTTCCCCCCCCAAATAGTGGGGAAAAGGGCCCCGAAAAGGAAATAAAAATTGGGGGGGGCCCTTACCCCCCCCGGGTACCCGAAGAGGGGGAGCCCCAACTCCTGGGGGGGGGGCCCGAAAAGGGGCCCCCTCTTCGGGAAAAAGGGCCCCCTGGCCAAAAACCCCTTTAAAAACCGGAAAAAGAACTGGGGCCTCCTCCCCCCCCGCTTTTCCAGGGCCCGGTAAAGGGAAAACACTCCCGGAGGGGGAAGAAAATTGGTACATTCCCCCACCCGACGACGGAATGTTCGGGCCCCTTGTATCCCGGCAAAAAAAAAAAAAAGAAACGCCCACTGGGA